ATAATAACAGTATTCTTTATCTTAATGACCATGTTCCCCAGACTTAGCCTTCTCGATTCAGAACCTCACACTAGACCTAATGACTGTAAACATCTCGAGACCTCGGTGTGTCCCTGTCCTATCTCCATTTTTAATAAAAGCGAAAACAGTTCATAACAAAGAGTGAGCTGAAGAAGAAGTCACATTTTCAATGTTAAAAAAATGGAGATATGACAAGAAAACACTGGGGTTTCGAGCTGTTGTATGTCGACATGTTTGTAAAATTTGGCTTTGAACGTTTGATGATATTTGTTGATTTTCACAAGTAGACATTGACTCAGCCGTCTGTGGGTAGTGCCAGAACCTCTGGGCCGACCTGTCCTTCTCAGCAGTATGTTCAGGTCATGTCAGATGGACAATGTCCGACCCACCTGTCCTCAGTAGTACAGACTTCAACATAAGTTAAGGACCACCTTGACAGACACCCCTGATTTTTTAAAAAATCCGACAAAAATACAGCAAGGAATGTTTCACAATTGTTTGCTCTGAAAATGTTAATGGGTCACCTGTGTGGACTGCAAAGCTTCCGAAAGGGCAAAACTACCACGTGCAGCACGGAAATCCCTGGCAAATTTTGTGTGCGACATCGCGGACATTTTTCAGTTAAAATTTCTGGTGCACGTGATAAACGGACGTACGGTCTCGAACTGTGCTCACTGTGGTGGCAATATAAGCCGCCGTTTGAGCCAAATCGAGTATTGCATCAACATGCCACCGAGACAAAAGCTTAGAGACTTTGATGGTGCCAGAGCTATGGCATGGCTGCGGGATGGAGTTGGAGCCCGAGAAGTTGCCAGAAGGCTTGCAGTGTCACACTCTGTCATTGTCCGCTTGAGGCAGCACCATTACGTCACTGGATCAGTCCCAGTACACCCACGTGCAGGTCGACCCAAGAAGACCACTCCGAGTGTTGCAAGTGGTCCTTAACTGAAGGTGAAGTCTGTGTTTTTACAGGTCAGGTCAGATGGACAATGTCGGAGGTTCTGCTCAGACCCATATCTGTGTCAGTGAGTCACACACATGCATAATGAACTGGGTTAATGAGATGCAGGGCCTCAGAGGTCAGCAGATAGGTCAGCGACAGTCCTCTCTCCGATACGATGCCCCCCCCCCACCCTTGTATCCTTTCTTTTGCAACACCCCCCCCCTCCCCAACCAGCCCGAGCCCTTTGATACATTTTTCTAGCCCTCAACTTCCCCCCTTGTTTTTTTCCCAATTTTGAAATCGCTTCCATGTAACCGTCAAACAAAGCCCAGGTTTGGACAGGCGCGTGGAGTGGGGACATGACTTTTGACTAGATCCACTATAATCTCTCCATGGTGTTTTTGTTTTGTTTTTTAAATTCACGCTTTTGAAAAAATGGGTACTGAGTTGAAGAACTGACTGAAATGTTCATGCCTCATTGATTTGTTTATTCTTTCTTTTTCTTTTGGCTTTAACTCTGATCACAGGTTTCTCGATTTTATGTTTGACTCACTCGACCAGCCCGCGGTCCGCTCCTTGCGAGTGTTCCGACCCCTCAAACTGGTCAATGGCATCCAGAGTGAGTGGACACTGGCCGGGGGGAAAAAGTCAAAGGTCTAAGGGTAGAGATCCTGTAGCGCTTAGCAGGCGGCCTGTGCTGGCCACTGAATGACGCGGGGCTTACTTGGGACTGCCCAGTGCCTGCCTCTTTTCCGTTTTCCTTTGTTCCTCTCTTGTCCTTGGGTTTGGTGGGAGGGCGGGGCATGCTGGGGAAAGAGGAGGGGGGGGTATCATCCAATCCCTGGTGTTGCTTCTCCCTCCCCTCCCCCCCCCCCTGGGGTCACTTGTGGTCACCTGTGCGTCCCCATGACAGGTGAGTCAGTCCATCTGTCAGGGCCACGCCCTCAGGTGTACCTCACGGGCTCCCAGCATCTTGTGTTTCTTCTTTCTCTTTGCTTTGAGTTTTTTTCCTTTGCCTCAAGATTTCCTGAGTTTGTTCAACCCTCCCAGAACCTTTTCAGTTGTCTGTCTCTTTCTTCTCTGCCTTCATATCTCAGAGTCGGATATGTCACAGCGTGTGACTACTGACTACACATGACTACTGACTACACATGATAGCCGCCATAGATACAGATCAGTTTTGGAGAACATAACGTGTCTTTGCTGTCATAAACAGTGGACCCTACCCCCCCCCCCCCTTTCCAAAAAAAAGAAGAAAAAAATGTTCCAAGATTTTGAAAATATATTACAAAATGTTATAGTGACTTAAATCTCGTTAGAATTTTTTCATTTGATTTTTTTTTGAGTGATGAAAATGTAATCTCAAGCTAAACAAGATGAGAGACATTTTTTGGTAAAGTTCTCTTTTGCTAACCAGCTGGGAATGGCCTGGCTTTTTATGAATAAGAAGAAATCTTTACCTTACAGCGTGAACGAACCATACTATGACAGCTCACCCTCTAGCTTTGTGAGACTGAGGCTATAGTAGACAGACTTCTCACTCCTACAAGTCACAAATAGCTTTGTGAGACTGAGGCTATAGTAGACAGACTTCTCACTCCTACAAGTCACAAATAGCTTTGTGAGACTGAGGCTATAGTAGACAGACTTCTCACTCCTAC